ACAGGTACTCCAAACCATCCCCACACCACTACTGAGAATCAGATCGCCTACGACGGAGCCAGCGGGAATCAAAACGGGGTTCGGGCGTGATGAAAACGCGAAGGTCGGGGTGACTATTGCATGCAACAATTAAAATAATCTCACACCACCCAAACACGCGCTGCTAGCGTACCACGGCGTATCATGTCAAAACAAAACACAATAAAAAATGTAGCGACCCGCAGGCGGCATTATCTCAAAGCACAGATCCGGATGGGGCGACGGCCAGCTGTGCCACAACGCCTGGTGTCCGCGACGTAACGCCATCATCCGCGGAAGGGTTGGTCAAACCACGAGCGAGTACGGTGTTTTTGCAAGCATCAAGAACGGCAAGGAGCATCCAAAACCGTGGAGTAACTAATAATGATGGGAGAGAAAGCTGTCTAGCGCCCGGGGTGTCTAAGAATCGAACAATTACGGACCTGTTGAGAAACTACACTAATCTGCCCACAAGCCACCAAAGTCCATCCAAAGCTTTGTACCAAATGTGGGCCCCGACAGGCAAAACAGAAACACAGAAGCAGACGACGCCACAATGTTATGGGAGGAACAGAAATAAACACCGAATGGGTAGTCTTTCTGTGCGTGTATTTATTTCATGTTATGGAGGAATAGAGAAATATAAAAGTCCGCTGCTCCTGGCTTCGGGTGCTCACAGCAGTTGTTGTTTGATCTCTTGTTTAGCCTTCTTAGACCAGGTCCGCTCAGCGCCCACTCGGAGAGTGAGGGTGCGGGGCTGGGATTTTGATCCTCCTTCAAGTACTTCAATACCCCTCAACGACCATACATATCCAACGAAATTTCAAAATATCCAAAGCGCTCAAACACAATTTTCATGCAACGCTCGTACAACGCTCTACACTACAGTTGCTCCATTACAACAACAGCAGGTCTCTGGTACCAACTAGACTACCGGGGCGACCGGTATGCGGCCAGTTTTATACCACACCATATGCATATGGAGATAAAAAAATAGAGGAGTGACGGCGAGACGGCGAGACTGTGCCGAGAAGAAGCGGGAAAGCTGCGAAAGGGAACTTGCCACAGTCTCGAACTCTCGAACTTTCGGCGAACTACTGAACTAGCCTACTACGTCCTCTGGACAGTATGTACATAGTTCGGGAACAATAATAAATCACGTTTCGGTTCTTCGTTTGGCGGACCGACTCGGAACAACTGCTGTCTTTCGTTAGTCAGCCGGAGGTGTATGTGTGCTGTTGCCAGCGATACAACATATGGTCGCTGCCTGTTCGAATGCCCCCAACAACCAATATTGGTAATCAACGAATCTGGGAATCTTCCGCGTGTTCGCACAGCAAGGATAGTAGTAAGTAGCGGGTGGATGGTCATTGGTCGAGGACGGTCCTGGATGGCTACATTAGTCCTGTAGACTAGTCAAGCAACAGCGCCGGCACCGAGAGCGCTTCTCGTGTTCCCCGACGGACTTGCTCTCGGTCAGGAGTTATGTGGTGTGTCATGTACTCCGCATCAACTTCACGAGAACAACAGCAGTGGACGACGCGCGCTGGCCGTGTTTTGTTTTTCAAGCGAGGGACGGCTCTGTACACGAAGCACTCACGGAACGTCCAATGTGGACGAGCATACACGACAGGGGCAGATTGCATAGCTGGTAAGAAAGCAATATCTCTGGATGTTGGTGCTTGTTTATCGCCCTGTAGACTCGATCTAAGACTAGTCTGGTGGGTACAAACTTGGAGTGTACCGTTCCTTCCCTTTCCCACTCGTGACTCATCTTGTAGCAGCGCCTGGATCTGCGACCTACCGACGAATACTTCCGACCACAGTTCTTCACGATTTTGCCCCTACTTGCTGCTGCATAGACAAGAAGCAGGGAGCGAGGTGAGCTCACTCGAATCCGCCACCAACACCGTTCGGACAGTGCGAAAAAAATCGCTCATAGAAAACGCTTGCAACCCTAGCAGCGGGCTGCGCAAAAATAGTCCTAGGCGGAAGCGATTGATTGTGCTCTAGCGACGACTGCCGTGCTTGGTGAGAGTTTTCGATTGCTCGAGACGAAAGACCAATCGATGCCTTGAGTCTCGCACAGCAGTTCAGTGTTGAGGTAGAGGAACACCCTGTTGTCATCCTTCCTTCGAATTCACCATGTTTCTCCTTCTGCTGCAAGGCGGCCGTGGTGCACAGAGTCAGTTTGCGATACGTCTCGGGCATATTGTGGTCCCACATGTGTAGCTTCTGCCGCTTTCTTTTTGACGCCTTGTCTTTCGTGTTTTGAAGAGAGGAAAATTGTGCGTGACGTTTTTCTGCCGCTGAGCAAGGTTTCGTCTGTTGTGAAATCTACGAAATTCCCGGTAGACGTGTTGCAATGTTGCGACTGGATGTATCTCAAGCCGCAAAACGTTGCTCGCCATGCTACACATTTGCCTCGATACCGTACCAGAAATTAATCCGTATTTTTTCCTGTCCGCCTTTCGACACGCCCGACACACGAGCGCATTCGCGTGATGATACTCCAGTGACGGTATGCATCACATTGATCCCAACACTATCGGGCGTACATGTACAATGATTCTCACCATACTGGTGTACGCATGGTGTGGTCTCTGGGAGTGATTAAAGCCTACGCCAGAGCTGACGTTGTTTCACCCCTCCCTCCCTGGCGTTCGGGGTGCTGCACCGGCCCCTGTCGCTGCTCGTTCAATTTACCAGCAGGTGTTGCGTGTTTTGCTGAATCTGCAAAATTTTATCGAATGAATCATTGAAATAATTCTCCAAATACCCATCAAGTGATGCTCGATATGCTACCCCACCACGAGCGAGAATTGTTGCCGTCGACAATTCAGGGTTTCCAAACCCTTCGCTCTGTTCACTGCTGCTGTCAGTCCCAAAACATAAGACTATTGCCTGTGCTGCTGCATGTCTCTGTCATGTAAAATGAAACTATACCGCAATTTAGGGGCGCAATACCCCCCCCACCCTATTTGTTCGTCAGGTTCATCAAAAAGGGGCTCGTGAGGTCTGTCGTCTCTCAGTTCGTGCTAGTACTTATTGCCCTACAACAGCAAGCTACCGCGCAGGACTTCACTTGCGCATCCGCGTTGATTCTTCCTGGCACCGGTCCATTTGATCCCGCGGTCCCCAATTCCGCCGGTCTCTGTCTTGAAGGGTGCACATCCAACAGAATCAATGTGAGGATGAAGGGCCTAGTTTTGTTTGATTCCTTTTAGAGACCGTTCCGGTCTCCAGAGGTCTCACAGAACGGAAACAGCAAAGTGAATGAATAAATGAATGGATTATCACGCTCAGTCCAAAGCTCCGAACCACGCACCTTCTTGACCCGAACGCCCGAGGCGCGATGAATCAGACCATTAGCCACCCTGCAATACTTTAGATGCCTTCAACAAGCTTCAGCTTAATCGGTCCCTACTGCGTGAACGTTTGGCTGTGTCGGTGACCGGCCTTCTGAAGTACGAAACACGAGCATGCAGCAGGTGCCCCCAATTGCTCTGATCTCGATGGACCTAGACGCTGCCGATCCTCCAACAAATTGAAGCCCAGTCAAATCTACAGCTGGATTGACAACCCCTTCGACGCTTGATTGAATGGCTTTGTGTCTACCAATTTTGCCTGCCAACGAGAGGTTCGGGCCACCGCTGCAACTTCCCCACGCTTAAGTATGTTCTGCCGCATTTCGCACGCACATGAACAACAACTTGATAATTGATGATCTCTCTTTTCCTCGTCGGAACACATCCATCCATGCATCCATTCAAGTCCAATAACTCCGATCTCGACCAATTTACGCGTGTGTATAGTTGCCTGCCTGTCTTTACATGCCGATGTAGAAGTACAACGGAATACCCACTTCAAGGCCGGGATTAGCCTGCCATCGACAGGGTCGGGGCACACCTCTGTCACCTGCCCCGCGGAGGCTGATTATTTAGCCGCGTTTCGGCGGCTTTATTTGTTCTTGTTTTTACGCGCGCGCGCATATATGTGCTTGTCGGCTCCTTTGACAAAATATTCCTCAATGTATCATCGGTTCATCAATTCTATTATTTTTCTCGGTGGACCGGCACACGAGCGGACACGTTCTTCTTCGCTTTGAATTGGGATGAGCGGTCGTGTCGTGCCCTTGATGTGCTATATAGCAGTGTTGGGCCGTCGTGATTGTTTTAGCGTGTTATCGCACTGTAGGAACCGTGCAATGTGTTGCGTACGTACGTACGTATGAGTATGCGTTGATGACTCTGTTTTCAGCACACATCATCATTATCATCTGTCGTTGAACCTTTTACCCGCGATGATGCGTGTGACATCGAACGCTGTAGGATGCAACACGAAATATAAGCGCGCGTACTTTTGTACGCAGCACCGGTTGATTGTGGTTGTATGCATATGCGAACGTTTTTCTCGTCTGTTCTCTCTACACCAGATTCAGCATTAGCCAATGGTTGTCCGTCATTGCTTAACCGTTTTCTTCTTCAACCGTCGTCGTAAGGATGCAACAAGAATTAATGCACGGTATTCACACAGGTAATTATTGATTGGTTGTGTGCGAATCTCTATCTCGTCTGTGCTCTCTACCCCACCTTCACAAAGATACCGATGATCTCTTAGAGGACCAGCACGGTTGCGCGAGGCAAGCTAAATTGCCAATTCGTGATAGCGTAGTCTAGGTTTATTGATGATTTGTTGATGAAGGCCTACATTATATATATTCGCGAGCATTATCCGGCAGGGATGGGTAGTAACGTTCAAAGGCCTTAAAGCTCTCACCTTCTGCCTTCGTTCTCTGTTCGCGAATGTGACAACTCTCGGAGGCCTGATGAGCTGTAGTCCTTTGTCTTCTCTGTAATCTCTCTCTCGAGCTGATGTCTCGAGACCGGGTCTTGGTTGGAGTTCAGATTAATAACGGAAAAACGGTCGCAATATGTTCGAATATCACGACGGTACGTGAAACAAACGACAAGTGGACAAGTATGCGCGTGATACGTTCACAGTGGACATTTTTCACAGGGTTCTTTATCTTCCTTCAAGGGTTGGTTTTGACTGAAAACCAGGTGGGTGCTTGTGGTAGATAGGCCTCGGGCTCGAAAACGCCTCCTCAAAGAAAAGTACCTGTTGCCCCTTCGTCGAAGCTTGCGGTTTGTTTACGACGCTTCGGCACATTTATCATATTTAGCGTATCCACACACACAAGCTGCCGTAAAATATTATAGGCTATCACTTTCGTTTGGCAGGGTCGGTTGGGTTCATTGATTGCAGCGATGTTTTATTGTGCAATTGTCGGTGTCTACCTAAACACTACTTCGAAGTATGATATAGTCCACTGTAAATATCTGTATTTGTCGGATGGAATGCGACAAAAACAAAAGGTACTTATTTGACATGTCACAATATGGAGCTGGTACGGAGAATGCCGTACGATTTCGTGCACTTCAGAAATGTAAGCGTAATCACAATGGCCCTTTTTTGCTTATTTCTTTAGGTGACGTCGGCCAGACCCGCAACATCAGTCAACAAGAAGTACTACATGTACATCATACTCGTATATATATATCTATTTCTCTGTTTGCCCGTCGCCTTGTTTTATGCTCCTCGTCGGCAGAGTGCGAGTCTGCAGAACATCCAGACTACCTCAGAGTGTCCTGCGGACGGGTGAGGAAGGAACGTTGTTGATCCACCGAGAAAGGAACTGTCGAGAATGGCCCATTTCGCGGCCATCGCGGTGTTGTGAAATGATCTGTGTTGTAAGTTCTGTCTTTCTTTGTAGTGTAGAATTGGGAGAACCCGCATTGCATCCTTCACTCTAAAATATATTTGGTTTCGCGGTGGTGTCTTCTTTCGGAACCTAAGCAAACAGGCAACTCAATAAACACGGCGGTTACTTCAAGACATGTTTAACGGCTAGCGCACACGACCTTGCACATGCTGCCGGCACCCGATCGATTCCACGCCTTTTCGTTTTCGCGCAGATCAGGAACAATCAGCTTCACCGCGGACCTCTTCGTCTCTGCCACTACAGACAGCTACGACCTAGGACTGTGAGTGTACCTGCTGCGACCAAAGGGCGTTGTGTTTTGAACAAATGTCATGCCGTGTTGGGTCTTTTGGTTCGGTCGGCACTAGTGTTGGGAATACGCGAAGCGCGACCAGACTATGTGCTGCTGTGAAGGCTTGGTAGTTTGCAGAACTCTCTTACTTGGGAGGAGCAGATCTCCTCTTGGATGAACGGTTTCAGTGTTGTGTGGCATTCATATGTGTTTGGGTGTGGTGCGGAACGAGTAAGCACGCCTTCTCTTTCTGTTTCTCCTCCCGCACGGTCGCTCCGCGAGAGCCACACGGGAGGTTATACAACAAGCTCTTTGGTCCATCTTCTACCTCGAATCACCTCACCCCGAAGACGGTTCGTTTAAAGCAGATATTACGTGGAAACCGCCGATGCGTGCTCCGGTTTCGCCTTCGGGGGGTGCGTCGAGGACGGTTTCAGTTTGGAGGTTAACGGGCAGCAAGATAACAACGACGATTGCGCCGACGCCTCTTCGGGATCATCATCGTTCCCACAACTCACGTTTCAGGTAAATGAAAGTCTGTTGTCAAAGACCGAATAAACTGTGCCAGGAAGAATTCGGAATATCTCCCAGATCTACGTATGTATGTACATAGTTGGGTTGTTGTGCCGCCCTGGAGGCGTGTTGGTTCTGATGTTTTGGTTCGTGTTGAGAAGCACGATGGCCACTAGACTACTGACTGACTTGTAGTCTAGTGGTCATCGTGCTTCTCAAC